CAGATGATTCTAAAATTCCATTCATTTAATTAGAATCAACAATTGCTGCAATGAATAAACTTCAAAATATTCACAATGATTAGATATTATCAATAAAAGAATCCTACACGTACTTAGAAGCAGATGTACTCATAATAATGAAAAATTATAAAGATCTTATACTAGATAAATAGAGTAAAATTCATAGGTGAAACTCTTTATTAATTTTATTATTACTTTATTATTTTTGTTGAAAAGGTATTAAATAAAAAATAAATAATTAAGACTCTATATTATAAGTTTTGGTATTATAATTATAGTTTCTTTTTAATAATTATTTTTTCATTAAATTCAAAATATACTAAAATACGTCTATTCTATATTTAAATATTTAAATAATTTATTACTTCATTTCTTATTTCATTTAGGCTTAAGTTTTTCAATTCTAAACATAATTATTTAATCTTGTTATTCTTCAAAAATTAGAATCTAAATTTGTTTATTTTTATTTAAGAAATTAAAGATTGTATTATACAAAACAAAATTTCTATCAAATTTCACTTTGCGATAAAACAACAAATATTAGCTAATAAATTTTCATAATAAAATAAATGCAATTTAATAAACAAAAATAAGAGTATTAAGATAAAATCAATTCTTTTCGTAATCATCCTGCTTTCAACAAATTACACTTTGACATTCTAAAAGTCATTATTGATTCTGTTAATGTTTTATACTTTATCAAAAATTAGAGAGTTTATATTGAAAATGAGTTAATGACAAATGTATTTATTGTAAAATAAGGAGAATTTAAAGTAACCAAATAAATTAATATATAGAGATGAGTAAAAGGATGTTGTATTAAAATCCAGTTTTTTCTTATCTAAAGAAATGGAATTAATTTGAGATTTGTTTGCTCGAAAAAGGGGAAACCTTTGGAATAGAACATCTTGATGTAGAACCAAAAGGGTATTATAAGTATTCTGTTGCTTGTCATTCATATGAGGGATCATTGTATTCTCTAAAATTAGATTAAATTTCTTAGATCTTAAAAGATCATCATATTAAGGTATCAGCAGAAAATCTCTTTTATTACTAATAATAATTAAGTAAGAATAGACTATATATCTATCGAGAATAATAAATTAATTAATTACATTAAAATGTTACTCAAACCTAAAAACATAGAGAAGTCAGATCATTTTCTTATGCTAACAATGAAAATGTTAATAACAATTATAGGTTCTAAAATCGTTCTATAAGTTATGATGAATCATATTGTGATAAAATACAATCATTAATTAATTACTAAAAACAAATAATAAATAATCCAAGAAGGATTATTAAGACAGAAGTATTAGAGGATGATTCGTATATAAATTAATCAGTCAACAATCACATAAGAGCACTCAAACCATATATCAATAACTTTTAATCAGGAAAAAATCTAACTAAACGAACACAAGTAGGTTCTTAAGATCGAATAGCAGAATTAAATCAAAATGAAAAGATTTTTAAATTGAAAGTTCTCTTTAAATTAGGATATAGACCAAAAAAAAAACTATAAATTAGAATGCATTAAATTCATAGCTAACATCTATCGAAAATATTCCCGTTTCATCCTAAATGATTAATTGATAATAAGGTTCTTTTTACAATATAATTTTTTAATAATTTACTAATATGTCAAAATAATAGCAATAACAACTCTCATATATATGCAAAGACACATAAAACCAAAAAAGCCAAGGTCAAAGTAATAGAAGAGTAAATATAAATGATCTTATTATTAGATGAATAACAATCAAAACAACTTTGATGAAAAAAATGTTTAAAATCAAAAAAAATAAAATAAATACAATAGAAGAAACAATTCATAAGAAAAATAATAGAATAGCCATAATCACCAATCTTAACCTGTTATAGGTACATATAAAAATAATTTCTTCAGCGAGAGCTCAAATTAATCAACCATAAAATAAAATTTATGATTCTTAAACATTAATTTCAGCATATCATGAATTACTTTAACCTCCAAAAGAAATTGAGGAATTCTTTGAAAAAATACCACATCTTTTTACATTGGTTTCTTAAAAACCTTTAATTTCATCTTCAATATAATTCAACCATAGTGATGAAGAAGAGCCAAAGTGGATGAACAATAATGAGAATTTTTAGATCATTGATATTGAAAATGAAATGGAAAAAAAGAGAATAGAATATTAAAAATAACATGGAACATTTGAAAAAAAACAAGAGGAAAAATCTAAAAAATAAAATGAAACTAATTCAGAAGAAATATCAGAACTTTAATAAGCAAAAGAGAAATATAGATAATTAAGAGAATAAGAGGAAAAATAATTATAGGTTGCCAATGAAACCAAAGCTAAATTATAAGAATTATTTACCTTTTCTGAATAAGAATAACCAAAGCTTGTAAATTCAATCAACACCAAAATACTATCAGTAGAAGAAGTTGAAAAATAAGCATTAATTTCTACAAGTAATAAATAGAAAGATATTATCAAAATTGAATAACCAAAACAAAATACTTAATTTTGTTTTAATGACTTTAATAACAATGAATCTGATTATTTTTTTGAATAATTAGAAGAAATGGGAATTCATATTCAAAGGAAACCACAAGTAACTTAATAGCCTATTATTAAAATTTCAAGGGAGAAAATTAAAACTGCTCCTTTTTCACTTTAAGCCTAATTACATTCTAGATCTACGAAAGAATCTTTATGGTATTATATTGATAATTTTGGAAAAGTAAAAATATTTTTAATGTTAAATTTTAGATTTAAGGTGGATTTACAACAGAAAATATGGATTAATGGTTTGAACATAAATATTTAAAAGCAAAGTTAAATATTTCTTGGGAAATACCTGGTAAATGGATTACATTAGAATAATATTTAATTAATTTAGATCAAATTGAAAAAAAACTATTAGATCCAAAAAGTGCAATGGATCCATTAACACTCATAACTAACATTAATAATATTTAATTAAATAATCTATAATAATTATAATAAATTAATACATTTAATGTGAATAGTTTTCAAAATTAATAAGTTAATGCTTATCAATATTAATAGATAAATAATAATTAATATCTATAGTATCAAAATTAATAAATGAATAACTAATAAAATAATGTAAATAAAAAAAAAAATAATAATAATTAAAACAATAATAATAGTAAAGTCTAGCAATATAATAGATAAGATTATCAAAAAAATAATTAATCATTATATTGATTTAAGGTTGAGAATTATTTTATAAATTATTGATAATAATTATATGATAAATCATTTATTATAACCAAATTATCTCTATAAAATATAATATTATATACCTTTTATCCTGAAAAATTGTTTTAAAGGTAGGATTCTTAAATTTTACTTGGACTTTCATACCTTAAATATTTATTTGAATATTACATCAAATAACTAGTTGATAAACCACTACTAATATTGATCTTAGATTAAAGTAAACTAATATTAGTGGCTTCTTTTCTGATTTCATTATCAATACGAATGAGTTCTTTTTAATATTCATCTAAATATAATGGATCAGGAGTAAAGTTAGATTTAGATACTTTAGAAGTAGCTCCTGATATTTTTGATTCTGATTATAATTTATTAAAGATTTCTTATTCTCTCATAATTTCCTTCTCATAATATTTTATCAATGCTGATTCTTCTCTTTTTTATGTATAGATATTTGGAATACTTAATTCTTCACAAAGCTTTTTAATTTTAGATTCTTCATCTTTAATTTATTAATGATAATAATTTAATAAAGGACTTTCATAAGAATAAGGCTAACTCTCTTGTAGAACTTTTGATTAAGCAATTTGATCTTATTATTGTTCTTTATTTTATTCCTACTTTTAAGTTTAAGTAGGATTAAATGATTCTTAGAGAGCATCACTTTTTTATAAATCTTATTATGAGTAATTAACATCTTAAACTTCAATTTAATTTTCTGCAGGTTATTCCCCATCTTATTATTCTTAGTTTTATTTAGGATCTTCATTTGGTTAATTTTCTTATTACTCTATTTAATAATAGATTTAATAAATTAGATTTTATAAGTTGTTTAGATTTCCATCAATTATAATAAGGAATTTATCTAGAATTTAATCATCGATTTCTTATTCAATTGTTTATAACCAGTTTTTAAGAGAATCTAATGTGATTTAATTTTCGTTCTCAATAATTTCTAATTCTTCAAGATTGATTGGATCTGCAATATTTTAATATTGACTAAAAATAAAAAAAAAATAATACTTATAGTTGTTTTTTAATTGTACAAAGAATGCAGTTAATTTTGATTCAACATCTTTTGGTAAGAGCATACTTTAAGGCATTTCATATGATTTATGATTAAGTGCTTAGTCTTTCACTTACTCATTAGTTTTTGGTAAGATTACTTATTGGAAACTTTAAAATAATGAATAAAAAGTTACTCTGCCAATGTAACAAAGTTATCCTTATCAACATCCAAAACTCTAAAAATATAACTTAACTCCTCTTAGGTAACTTAAACATTGTTATCATCTAAAAATTCAAGAATCTATTCCTCTTTTAAAGCACTTTATCTTGGTTAATCAAGTCTTTTATACACTCAATATAAATATGAGAATGGATACCTGTATTAAGTTCAAACATTTCTAGACTAGCTAGAGCAATTCTAATTTCCTCCAATTTATCCTCACTTTCAACTGTGAGTTAGATGAATTGACAAAAATTCATAATAGAACAATAAAATGAAAATAAAATTTATTAAATTTTATATGATAATCTACTTTTAACTACATGATTAAACTTTAGAATTACTCCATTTAAATTAAAAAAAATGATATTCTTATCAGAATTTGATTAAATAAAATAAGAACTACACAGCAGAAGAGATTTAAAATAAAGATGAGGAAATAAGAGAATAGAAGAATAGAAATGATTTAGCAAAGGAAAATTTGATAAAATAAAAAATTAAACAAAGAAGAGCAAATGTTAAATTCAACTGTAGGTCACATTACAGGATAATTTGATGTATTGAAAAGTTTTTTATAATTGGACGAGAAAAGTGAGAGGAAAGAAGAAAAGCAAGTTTACATATTTCTCCTTTAATTCTTTTTTAAACTTTCTAGAATGCATGAACACAATTATATAATGATAAGACTAATTATTGTTACCTAAGATAGGGGATATATAAATAAAAAGAAAAAAACCTGTCAAAAACTATTTAAATAAATTTTAGGCTTATCTCATTAAGAATATCATAGAATGGTCAATTTAAAATAAGTATGCAAGCCATATGGGGCTTCTATTGGTGATTTTCTTATGTTCATGTGTAATGTTATTAAGGATTATTTTAGAAAGGACAGTATAATAATAATATGGATAAATTATTAAATAATTATTAAGAATAAAAATTCAATACATTCTCATTTATCTACTATGAGATGTTTATGGTAGAGGATTTTAATACTTATTAGTAGTATTTTAAGATGCTATTAAGTCTTTTAAAAAAAATTTTATATAGGCTATCAAAGAAATTTATAAGATATTCAATGGATGAATTCTAAGTTATTGCCTAAGAAAAAATCCACTGAATCGGTTTATATATGAAAGGTTCAAACAAATTTTCAATTATTAACAATACAAAAAACAAGTATTTATTGTTAGATGATGTAATTGATTTAAGAATAAACTTAAACAATATTAATATTGATACTAATATTTTAATTTTTAATAGTAATAATTTAAATTAATGCTTTTGAAGTTTCTTTCTTCATTCTTGTAATATTTTATATGTTATAATTGAACTTTAATTAATATTAAATTAATTGGTTATACTTACTATATTATTGGATATTCAAGATTAATTATTTGTTTTGATTTAGATATACCAATCTATTCAATTCATTTTATAAAAAACAATTTTTATCAAATAGACTTAAAAATTTTTATAAAATGATATCATTTAATACTAATCAAAATAGCATTAAATTAAGTTAAAATTAATATTAATTTCTGTTTAACTTTTCATTTGTGTATAAACAATTAATGGGATTTGGAAAAATAATAATCAACTCAAATATGTTTGATCAATATCATCTTTAGTTTATTTGCTATATTAAAAAAAGAGATCTCATATAAATAAGTTATTACTTGATATAGTATCTCTTGTTAAATGAAATATAAGAAAAATAGAGAAACTATGATTAGATTGACAATAATTAGATATATGGGTGTTTTCTAATTTTATTTAAGACATATTATATAGGTTATATAATAAGAGATTTTAATTTTGTAATCCTATGTTTAATTGGAAATTAATTTAGAATATTAGTTTTATGATTTTACTGGATGATCTATTTTATGATTGCTTTTTGATTTGAAGTTTGTTTAAGAAACAAAAGTATGAATATAATGATAATAATATCTATCACTTATTAACATTATGAAGGGTTTTAGGTTGAATATATATATAAGTTTTATATATATTAAATTGAATTTAGGTGACATAATCTTAAATAAATATAGAAGAGTTTAATATATTATTTATTTGAAAGAATATACTTATATTTTAAATAAATAAATGGGGAATTGTGTTTCTACTTAAGATGATATCAGAAATGCAAACAAAGTTTCACCTGTTTCATTGTAAGAATATATATATAAATAAAAAAAAGAACAATAAAACATTTCACTTGGAATCGCGATTCTCATGGTTTATTTGATTATGAAAACAAGAATGTTATAAAAGGTTAGATAAAAACAAATACATAATTATGTAATATAGAAACTTAAATTAGTGAGATTAGTTCGTTAAAAAGAAAATATTAAAATAATCTAAACAAAAGAGGAATTATAAGTAGCAAATAAGTTTATTGATATAGTAATTCTAAAATTAACCAGATGTCATAGAATTACTTAAATTGACACGTTAATTTTCAAAATATTAAGTTGAATCTAGTTTGAAGATCTCTAAAGCAGAAGATTAAGAAGGTTTAAATGATAACTGTCCATGGATAGTTGTAAAATCAACAAAAAGCAAATTATCTGATGGATAAGTATAAAATAAAAATGATCAATAAAGGGATATGATTTAAAAGAAGGAGATTATGTGAAATTAGGGAGAGTGAGATTTAGAATTAGAGAAATCAAATGTTCTGTTGATAATAATAATACAAATAAAGGTAATTAGGTACCAGAATTGTAAAAATATGTATCAGAAAAATGTTTAAATACAATGAATATAAATACATAAGAAGATGATAAAAAAAGTTAATCAGAAGAACCTTGTTGTAAAATATGCTATAATGATTCCTAAACAAATGAAAACAATCCTTTAATTGATTGTTGTAAATGTTAAGGATCTGTTAAATATATACATATCTAATGTTTGTAAACATGGTTAGTTAGTAAATTATAACCAAAAACAACTAAGTTTTCAGTTTCATTTCAATGGAGATAATTTGATTGTGAAGTATGTAAGGCCATTATTCCTAGTAATTATAATTATATTAAATATTTAAGGTAGAATAAGATATTAAGACAGGATTTTTGAGACCATAATTATACCTAAACCAGATGCTCCATATATAACATTAGAAATCTTAAGTAGAGAACGTAATAAGAGCAAAGGAACTCATATAATTAGTTTTGCATAAAAATAACAAATAAAATTAGGTAGAGGTCATGATTCAGATGTAAGGATAACAGATATATCAGTATCTAGATGTCATGCTTTGATTAAATTTATTAATTGTAAATATTATAATAATAATTCTAGCTGGATTTGTGCTTGAAGATTAGTAATCGAAATTTGGTACTTTAGTTTTATTGAAGATTCCTGCTTTGATGTCAGTTGATTTAAATAATAATATGGCTATCTAAGTTGGTAGAAGTGTTGTTAGTTTTTAAGTTTCAAAGGATTGGAATGTATAATCATGTTGTATGTATTCTAGATAATCTCATCAATAAATAGGGGAGGAATATCAGAAGATTAACAGTTACAAGATGATACAGATATAATAGGAAATGCTGTTGGTGATGAAGATTAAGCATAGATTGAATAAGAATTATAAAATTTTGAAGAACATACACCATGACTTTGATAAATTATGTTTTAACTTTGTGTTTGCTCAAATAATTATGGTTCAAGGATAGTTTTATTTTTATCTGAGTTTTTCTTATTCTTATTATATTCTTTATTTTTCTTTTTCTTCTTCTTATTTTAAGTGCGTTTCCATATATTCGACAATTCCATTTGGTGTTCTATCTCCATTATAATGAAATATTTTATCATGATAAAAAATTCTAAGAGTTGGGTATCCTTTAACCTCAAATTTACTACATAGAAATGATTCTTAAGTGCAATCAACTTTGGCTAAAGTAATATTGCTTTTTTTTTCTTTTAGCATAGTAGCAGCTTTTTCAAATTAAGGCATTAAATTTTTACTAGTTATTAAGATTAACTTACCAATGTGGACACCAAGGTGCATAGAAATCTACTAATAGAACTTAGAAATTCATCAATGCTGCATCAAAATTATCCCTATCCAAAACAACTACATTTTATTCTCTATTAAACATCACTTAATGATGTAAATGATGTTATTTTTGTTTGCCAGTTGCCAAAATTAGATTTACTAATAGTACTAAAATCATTTAAAACGAATTAATTTGATTAAATAAATATTTTATATTAATGAGATTCTCTAAATTTATTGGCAGAATCCTCTTAGCCATTTTATATGTAAATGCTGGATTTTCTCAATTTTTCAATTAAGATTCCTACATCCACTATGTTAATATACGATATCCAGTATTTTATGGATACGCATCAAATCTTATTGGATCATACTTAGAAAATATAGAAATATTAGTATAAGCAAAATAATAAATAAGAAACCAAATAATTTTATTCAATATACACCAAATCTAATACTAGTCTTGGGAGTAACATAAATATTGTTTGGATTTGGTGTTGGTTTAGGAATTCAATAAGCTGGGTATTGTTTAGCTTTCCTAACTGTGATTATAACTGGATATGCACATAATCCATTAATATACTCAAACTAAGTGTATTTGAATTTCTTAATTTTTTACTAGGGATATTAATAGGGAATATCTATAAATAATTTTTAATATTGGAATCATAGGAGCTTTATTTTTAATTAGGAAAAACAAAAATAATAAAAATGTGACAATCAAAAATACAGCGTATAATTATTATTCATTTTAGTGAATCAGAAAAAAAAGAATAGAAGAATGCAGAATAACCTAAGTAATAGAATAATGAAAAAAGTAATCAAGATAATGCAAAAAAAAGAAAAGGAAAAGCTTTATGAGTAATTTATTTAGTTTTGTTAATTATTATAATGAATGATTGAATTCTTAAACCATAAATTAAATAAAGATAAATTTATTTAAAAACAATGGTAACTAATATGAATATTCTAACCTTAGGGACTTGATGCTTATAAAAAGACAAGAGTTTAAAGAAATGTAGTTAGAAAAGTAACATCCACAAATCTCTATTTGAAATTATTAATCAAAGTAATTTGATGATTCTTATTTTTTATTAGTTATATAAATTCTTGGCAAGAAGAACAGACTCTAATTTTAATGCAACTATATTAAGAAGACTTCAATCTACTAGAACAGCCAGATATCCAATTAGTATTAGCAGACTTGTAAAATAAATTAATACAGCTAAAGATAAAACTAGAACTTTAGTTGTTGTTGGTACTGTCACAGATGAGTAATTATTAATACTATAGAAATCTAATAGCATTCGTTTACTTAATGTTCCTAAGATCAATGTTTGTGCTTTAAGATTTACAGAAACTGCAAGAAAGAGAATTCTAGCAGCTGGTGGAAAAGTGTTAACATTTGATTAATTAGCATAATAAAATCCAACAGGTATTGATGATAATTATGAATTTTTTAGGAACAGGAACAATTTTATTAAGAGGTCCAAGAGTAAGAGAAGCTTTGAAACACTTTGGAAGAGCAGCTGGTTTACCTGGATCTCATGCTAAACCTTATGTTAGTAATACAGCCAAAAAGGGTAGAGGTTCTAGGTGATTTTCTTTACCTATTTTAATATATAAAAATAAACAAATTAATTATCATATATTGAATTTTAATCAAAAAATTATTTAATTTTTATGACAGATAAAAGAATAGACAAATATATTTTTAATGTGAAAGATAGAATTGGATAAGGATCTTATGCTGAAGTATTTAAAGGAACAAATGAAAAAACTGGAGAAAAAGTGGCCATCAAAATGTTAAGCAAATCTGTAATCAATGCGTAATTTTATTTATTTATTTATTTATTTAGAGATGATTATCTTAGGGAGGGACTGATTTAGGAAATTAAAATTATGCAGAAATTAAAAAGCCCTAATATCGTCTAATTGTTAGATGTTATGGAAACAAACAATAATTATTATATTGTTTAAGAATACTGTGATGGAGGGGATTTTGATGAGTAAATTATCATATTTTACTTTAAGACATCTAAAAAAAAAGAAGTTACTCTAAGAAAAAGAAGCAATCAAATTCCTAGTTGATGTACTAAATGGATTTACACATCTTATTAAAAATGGTATAATTCATAGAGATCTCAAACCAGCAAATATTTTAATTGACAAATAAGTAAGTTCAATAATTTATAAAGACTTACAAACTAGCAGATTTTGGATTTGCAAAATGTGTTGATAATTTTAAAAAAACAATGATGGCTTCAATGGTTGGTACTCCATTATATATGAGTCCTCAAATCTTAGATCATAAGAGATACAATTCCAAAACTGATGTATGGAGTATAGGCTTTATCTTCTATGAAGCATTATTTGGCAAAAGTTAATCAAATTTTTACATTTTTTCTAGCTCCTTGGACAGCCAGATCTCCAGCAGAATTACTTAAAAATATCAGAACCTAACCTTTAAAATTTCCTACAGATAAAAATTAAGTCTCATAAGAAACCTAAGATTTGATAATTGGGTGTTTACAAGCAGATGAAAATAAAAGAATGTCTTGGGAAGAAATCTACAAACATCCAGCAATTAGTCAATATTTTTCGGTAATTCATTTTGTATTTTATCTTTTTAAGGATTTTATCAAAGGAAATAATAAATTAGAAGATAAGGCTCAATATTTAATTAATGATATTAGATAGATGATATGCAAAGAGAAAATTGATATTCATAAATTATTTGCAGATTTAGACATGTCAAAAGATAAAGCTTTAGATGTTAATGAATTGGGAAAATTTCTATAAAAAGTAGATAAAGATATTACAAGAGAAGAAATTGAATATATATTTAATAAATTTGATGATGATGGTAATAATTAAATTGAATTTGAGGAATTTAAAAAATGGTTAGAAGATAATTAAGTAATTAATTTATATATATATTAATTAATAGATTGTTACAAATGCTAATCCATAATAATAATAAAGAGGAGGTGGATCACAAAAAAAATTGTCTATTTTACCCCATTAATTAAAATCTCAGAGTTCTATTGAAGAGAGAGCTAATTATGTTATAGAGAAATTAAAATTATCAATCTAAAAATATAAAATCAATTTGTTAGATTTATTTAAAAAAGTGATAATATATTTTGATTAATTTAGTTTGATAAATCAGCAGATTAAAGATTAGATAAAAATGAAATGGGGTTACTTTTAAAGAGAATTGAGCCTAACATTTCATAAGAAGAAATAATTGCTTGCTTTGAATTTTTTGATGCTAATGGTGATGGTGAAATCACATTTTAAGAATTCTAAACAAGTTTAAGTGAAGAAGTTGGGAAAAAGAGATAAAGTATAGACCATCATGAATGAAATATTTGCATTATAATATAGTAATTATTAAAATTAAATGAGTTTTGATTAATTATTGTTATCTAGACCACTTTATAGTCCAAAATACAAACATTAAGCATTTACTATTCATTCACATAATCCAACTCCTTATAGTATTACAACTTAAGTTTCACCAATTGAATCTCCAAGAATAGGAGACCTTTCAACAATTCCTAAGACTTCTGAAAGAGGATAATTATATGATAAATTAAAAGCCAGTTTGAAAAACTAAGAAGTAATAAAGTCTATTTAGAATGGAATAAAAGGTTAAAAGGTGAGAGATGCTTATAATTTACTTTCAGATTTCAATGATAAAAAATAAATAATATAATCTTTAAAATCATTATCTACAGCTGATGAAAGGTAATAATATTTTTAATATAATTTATTATTTAGAATTTTACTAATTGATAAAATTTTAGAGAGAAAAGAAGAAATGTAAGTAGCTGCTCTTAGATTAAAAGCAAAAAAATTAGAACCAATATTTAATGTTATAAGAAGGAAACTTAAATTAAAACAAACATTAAATTCATCTGCAGATAGAATGAAAAAGTAATCAATTTTTGGTTCAAGATCAACTGATCCTACAAATGATATATAAAATCCAATGCATTCTTATAGAAATTTAGATGAATAATAATAATAATAAGATGAAAACACAAGAAAAGAATTAGTTATGGAGAAAATATAAAATAAATATGCAGCATCTGTTGCTTTTTCTTGGTTAACCAATAGAACAGAAAAATAAGGTATAAATTATAATTTTAATGAAATTTGAGAATCTTTAATCCATAATTTATCTCCAGAATCTATAAAAAGACATAATAGAAGAAATACTACATTAAAGTAAAGTCATAAAGGGATAACTGGTTTAAAATAGATGATTACTAAAAAAGTGAGTGAAAATTCTGATGAAATGATAAGATTAGGATAAATGAAAATGTTAGAAAATCAATAAAAATCATATAAATCTAAAGATATAATAGCAAAATCAAAACCAAAAGTAGATACAGGGAGAATAAAGAGTGTATAAGTTAATAGATCATTAAGAAAAAAATAGACTTTAGATTTCTTTACAAATGAAAGAAAAGAAAATTCAGAGTTAACTTAATAAATAGCAAATGAAAAAAGTAATTTCATGTTAAGGAGAAAGTTAATCATCAATGAATGACTGTCATTATTTTATATTCTTTTTACTTTAGATTAATTTTCGTTTTCTATAAGGTTTTTCAATGTCCTTAAATTCAAACTATCTAATTGACAATTTTGGTAGCAATTCTATTTTTTATTATTTTGTTTTTTCAATTTTTGATATATGAAGTTAATCATTTAATTTGAAAGTACTTTAGACATTAGTACTATAAGATCTTAATCGATGATTAACAATAGAAGGAATTTTATTGTTGCAATTTTCTCTTTAAATAGTTTATTTATTGGAATGTTAAATATTTAGTTCTTCTTCAAGTATTTTCATTAATCTTTGAATGAACTCTACTTCATGTCTGCTATATTCTTATTTAGGTGCTAATATGAATGATTTGATTAATTGCATAAAAAAATAAATAATATTTTTGTTAAATAAAATAATTAAAATTTCATATCATTAAGCTTCAGAATCTCCATCATTATCTTTTGAATCAATTACACCAGATAATTATCTTTCTACTAATTATCTATAAATTCCATCAGGATTATTAAGTAATTCTTAATGTGTTCCTTACTCTGCTACTACACCATTTTGTAATACAATAATTCTATTGCAATTAACAATAGTACTCAATCTATGAGCTATTACTAAAACAGTTATATTTTTGCTTCCCTTTTAAATTAATTCATCAATAGCAGATTAAACTTAAAATTCACTTTCTGCATCTAAAGCTGATGTTGCTTCATCAAAGATTAATATTTTTGGTCTTTTTAATAAAGCTCTGGCAATTACTATTCTTTATTTTTAACCTCCACTTAATGTATATCCATGTTCACCAACAAAAGTATCAAATCCATGTGGAAATTTGTATTTATCCGAAACAAATTACCAAACTCCTGCTGCTTTAGTTGCCCATTCAAAATCATCTTTTGTATAATTTTCAGTCCCATATATAATATTTGATTCTATTGTTCCTTCAAATAATACTGGATCTTAAGAAACCAATCCTATTGATTTTCTCAAAGCTTTAAGTTTAAATTATTTAATGTTAATTTCATCAAAAAAAATAGAGCCTGATTATGGATCATAAAATCTCTCTAATAAATGCATTATTGTTGATTTTCCACTACCACTAGGTCCAACAAATGCTACATATTCTCCTTTATTAATTTTAAGTGTAATTCCTTTCAACACTTAAACTTAAGAGTTTGGATATGAAAATACAACTTTTTTAAATTAAATTTCTCCTGTTGGAGTAATATGATCTATAGCATCAGGTGCTTCTTTTACAAGAGATTCCCATTTAAGCATATCAAGAACCCCTTCAAAAGCTCCAGTAGCACTTACAATTTTTGCAAATGATTCACTTATGTTAGAACTAGATGTTGATAATTATATTGAATATAAGATGATAGTAGTTAAATCACTAAAAAATATATTTATAATATTATACCCTGCTGATAATTCTGCTGTATTATTCATAGCCAATTTACCTCCATACCATAATACTATTAAAGAACCTAATTAAGTAAATAAAGCACTTGATGCTTAATAACATCCATTATTTATTCCTCTTTTTTATGCCAATTTAATATTTAAATCTAATTATTTATGAAATTTCTTAATTTCAAATTATTCTGTACAAAAACTCTTTACTGTAACTACTCCTGATACTATTTCATCTGCCAATGTTGTTAATTTTGCTTGATATTCTTAACCTAATTTTTCAAACTTCTTTGCAAGTCTAGTATGAATTGTTGTTAAAACAGTATATAAAGGCATTGGTGCTAAAATTGCTAATGTAACTTTCCAAGACAATGCAAATAAGATTATTATATTGAAAATCGTCAAACAACAATTTCTAATAAGTAAAATAATATTTCCACTGACAGCTGATTTAGCTGATTATAAATCATTTGTCATTCTAGATATTATTTCACCATTTCTGTATGTATTAAAAAATGTCAAATCAAATGTTAAAAAGGATTTTAATACATCCTCTCTCATATCATTATATATCTATTCTTACCAAATTTAATTAGCAAATGCTCTAACTAAGGATAAAAGAGTATAAGCACATAAAACATATAAAAATTGTTTTGATAATTTTGTATGTAATTCTTCATCAATAACATTATTTGGAATATTTTAATTATTTATTGGATCTGTGTCAGAACTTTGTGCTTATTAAACATTTTTAGTGATTGCATCAATCAATCTACCAAGTATCCAAGGTAATAACATTTGTGCTACAGCTGATAATACTATCAATACATTCACTAATATAGTTAATTTTAAATGCTATAAAGGATAGTGTAATAAGAATTTATAAGTATTCCAATTAAATGGCAAAGCTTAATATTTCACTTTTTTCTTTTTTGATTTGTTTTTCTTAGTTTTATTTTTCTTTTTTCCTGCTTAAATGTTAATTTAAGATAACTCAAATTATGCCATTCCATTTAATCCATCCATATTTTCTTAAGAAGGTACTTCATCTAAAATGTCACTTTTTCTCATCTCTGGTTATTAATATACTTAAATTTCTAATCTTATAGACATAATTATACATTTATTATCTTCTTATTTCATTATTGGTATTGGTAATCTTTCTTCTTCATCTTCACTACCTGATAAAAATACTTTTTTTCTTTATATTTTATTCATCTCAATCTAATGACTATCCTCTTCTTTCATAGAAACATAATAATCATTCTAGCTTCCTTTAAACAATTTACTCATTTTGTTACTAGCATTTTCCTCTTAAACTTTATCCAATAATTTATTTTACATTTTTAATATATAAAAAATTATTCACGGTGTACATTCTATTTTCTATAAAACTTAAATACTTATTATTTATATTCATTCTACTTTTTAATTATTCAAATTAAATCATTCTTCATCTATTTTTAAGAGTAATATTTATGTCTATTTAACTTTATTATATAACTTAAGGTAGTTAAAATTGAAATTTATTTTATCTCCATTAATTTAATTCTTCTTAAATTATTAGACAACATCTTGATCTTTAAATAATTAAATTAATATAAATAATATCACTATTTATACAGTAAACATTATCCTTATGTATTTATTCAGAATGCTATAAAATTAAATTATATTTAATCAAGTATTAATATTTTTAATATTAAACATTTCATCTAATGTCTGAAGAATAAGAAATTGATTGGGGAGTTGGTGCTTAAGCTTTATATTATATGAGTAGAGCAACCAAAGATTGCAGTAAAAGATGTGGAGCATTAAAAGTGAATAGAGATTTTAATGAGTCTGAAACAGAATGTTTAAGTAATCTAATCATACTTAATAATTTCTATAGAAAAATGTGCTGTTTACCATGCCGGAGCATCAAGTACTCATATGAGATTTTTAATCAACTATGCTGAGACAGTGCATCTGCAATGAAGAATTTTCATATAATAATCATATTAAAATAACATAATCATAAGATATTTATTTTAAGTATTTTCATTTTCTTATTGCTATAAACAAAATAGATCATACCAAGAGTCTTTCTAACTCATGAAATAAATTAATTATAGAATTTTCATCATCATCAATGTAATTACTTAATTTCATTTCCAAAAATCTTACTTCAGGAGCTTCAAATTCAAAATCTCCTGTTTTATAAAAGTCCCAATCTTCATGAATTATATTTATTTTGACTTCATTTATTATCTCAACAGTTTAAGCTTATTTATGATATTCTTATATTATTTGTTATTCAAAATAATTATCTAATTATTATAATTTCTCATTTAATTTGATATTTATATCTCTATTACCATAATATTACTCTAAGTTTTATAAAGCATTTAATTTATATCTTAAATTTTCAAGATTACAATCCTCTAAATCTTTATAATCATATGGTTAGATATTTTTACAATATTCAAAAATAGATGATAAATCTTTTATTGCATTTAATTTATCTAGATAAATATAATATTTAAATGCAAGCAAAATTAAACTACAAGAGTATATATCATGTTCACTATTATGAATATTGAAATTAATAAAGTATTTTTATTCAAAAGTCATAGCAATATTATAAATTTGTTGAGATATTTTTAATTCAATACAAATACTTTTAAACATATCTAAAAATTATTCCCTATTAGATTCCTAATATTCAATATTAAATTATTTTAATAATTTAACAGCTTAATGTCTAATGAAACAAGTTTTAGGTAAATGTTAAGGAATTGTTAAATATTGGCTTGTTGTATCATTCATTAAATGTGAAAATCCTTCCAAATAATTTATTTTTTTTTGTTTTATTAATTAAATTAATTTACTTGGAAAAATTTTATTACCTTAAATAAGATTTGTAGCATATATTAAAATTAAGCCAAAAGTAAAATCTAATGGTATCAAATTTATTTTTTTTTTAGAAAATAATTTATTATTTATATTGACTGTTATATCAGTTTCTTAAGTGTTAATTTCTTTTTATTAACAAGATTTTAAAAATTATTAAATATATTTTATTTTTCTCGAGACAAAATTTACATTTCTTTTCTTTAGATTTTTATTAAGATTTTTAAAATCTAAATTATTCCATTATTCAGACATCTCAAAAAAATTATTTTGACATCCTAACATATAAATTAATATATCTTAAACTAATACATATTCCTTTTATAAAAAAGGAGACATTTCTTAAAACAATTCTTAACTTATTGATTTAAGAGAGAGAATTTAAGTATTATTATTATTTGATTTAATATTTTTAATCTTTTTTATTGCAAGATTTAAATCATTTGTTGTAGAATTGTAATATTTTTCAAAATATATTTCAATTAAAGCATAATAAATTGTATTTGTTAGATTAGTTGAAGAAAGTAAACCATTAATAAAAGTTGATTTATCTTAATTAACTGGAATATCTAATATTTATGATCCTTTTCTATGTACAGATTATTTTCTTTTTTAAATTGTTTAATTTAGATTACTTCCTTATTTTAATTAAAGTTTAATGATTCTTTTTTAATAAAATGGTGTTTTTGGTTTAGATATTTTCTTTTTTATTTATTAGATTTCTATAATTGAACTTTAATTTAATTAATCCTATGTAAAATTATATTATAATTATTTTTCGAAATCATGATCAAAATCATCTTCTATTTTAATATTAAGTGTTGATTCTATATTAGATTTATTAAATTTGTATTTTGAATTTACAATTCTATTTTCAGAAAATGCTTAATGTCCTTTTCTTGCAATAGTCCAATTTGAATTAACTGGTTGATTAATATGATGTAGCAAATATCTTTAATAAAGTGGTTTGATATCTAAATTCAATTATTTTCCAATAAAATTAATAAACTTAGTAAATGCTGCTAAATATTATATCCAATTTTGTTTAATATGTTCTGATAATGTAAGATTAAGTTGAATTTCTCTTTCTCTTCTTTGTTTAATATGTGAAGTAGTTCTTTTTAAAACAGATTTTTAATATTCTTGTTCAGTCGAGAATATATGATTACTTCTCTAATTATAAGTGATATTTTCATACAGTAGCATTTCCACATCCAGTACAAACAAGTGAAATACCCTTAATAACCAATCTATTTCCACAGACATTACAACTCATGGCATCCATATGAGTATATATAATTTCAATAAAATAATTATATTACCATTATTTAAATTTAAAATGAATAGAATATTTTATTCTTAAATTATATTCAAATATAACCAATTTATTTCAGTACGTTCTTAACAAAATGAATTAAGAGATCGTATCTCATTTTAGGTGTTTTCAATTTAGGTAATGGCAAATAAGTTGTAATTTATTCATACATTTTTCTAGCTTTTCTAAATTTCTCTAATCTACAAATTTTCTTAGAATCTTAATCTTATTCTCTAGTAATTATCATAGGAGGACTATTACTAGAAATTTCTTCATTTATTGTTGATAATGGTTTAACAACAACAATCTTACCTTTGATTTTAAAATTATCAGTTTCTATTTAATAAATATGAGGAGATAAATAAGTATTTTCACCTATTCCACCAAAACATAAAATGTTACTACCATTTACACAACTAGAATGACTCCATCTTTTTGTTTATAATCCTTATCTTTATGCTATAGTCCAATAACTCTTTTGTAGATGAAATATATAAATCTCATTTTAATATTCTCTTTTTTCTTATGATCTTCCACCTATCAAAATTAAATAATCACCAACATTTTCCATAGTATGATTATATCTACCTTCTGGTGCTTAACCTGAATATTATACTTTCTCCCAACCAACAGGATGAAGTCCATAAAATATCATCTTCATTAAAGGAAATGAATTCAATTTTGCTGTTTATCCACCAAAAATATAAACAGTTTCAATATTTCTTTTATTATCATATGCAGTACATTAAGCATGTTATGCTATACCTTCATCAAATAATAATTTTTAACCAGTCCATCTCTTAGATTCCAAAGAATAAATTAATGTGTCATTTAATAGTTTCTCTGCTGAATCTAATCCACCTGTTATTACCATTAATTTTCCAAATAAAATTGATGCTTTATGTTCTCTTCTAGGTTCTACTGATTCTAATGATGTTGTCCATTAATTAGTTAATGTATTGAAAAATCCAAGAGTTGAATAAACTTATCTAATTTTCATTTTATGATCATAATAACCAGATCCTCCAAATAATACTAAAAACTATTTCCATACTACCATAGAATGACTGGTAATAAATAATTAAACATTAGAACAATAATTACTCCATTCTTGCTTTTCTATTTACTTTATTTAAATATATACTTAAATCGAACCACCATATTTCATTTGTTATTCCTCCACCACTCATTCCTCCAAAGACATACATTCTATCTCTAACAACTCCAATCTATGCAGATTCTCTTCTACTAGGAACAGCATAAGAATAAGAATTTAAGGTTTCTTCAAAAAATGTAACAATTGGTTATTCTTCTTTGATGTCTTCTTCTGTTATCTTTCTTTTTTATTATTATTGTCTTTAAACATTGGGTAAAATTTGTTTTTCTGGGCTATTTGATATTCCTAACTATTTTTCTAAATATTTTAATGTTAATGGTTCTCGATGTGGAACTTTACGTTATAATGATTTAAATTTCCTTTCACTTAAACTAATATCTCTATAAGTTTATGACATTTTGTTTCTTTGTAATTCAAGAAAGCTTTGCTAAATAAACTTTTATTAAGATTTATTGGCTATTAATTCACAAAATCCTCCTGGTTAGCTTCTACGGATTGAATGAAAATGAGTTGATATATCTTCTAAAGAACTGTTTTCTATACTTGGTAGAGCCAACGTAAATTTATGTTCAGAATCCATTTTTAATTTTCTCTTTTTCTCTAAAACATATTAAGAATTGCTTTGATGTCTTATAGCAAGTTGCATTGATTCATCTTTTATACTCTTCAATAAATCCTTATACTTGTCTTTTTCTAAATTTAAGTTAGCAGCATTCATTCACTGATTATAGACAAATAAAATAATAATTGTAAAGGAAACTTAACTTATGTTCTTAAAAAAAGTAATTTATTAAATAATTTCATATAAATAATCATTAAAAAGACTTGCAAAGAAAAAGAAGCAGATATTCATTAAGATATCATTTTTCATCTGAAGATTCAGTATCAAGATGATCTAAATCATTTTAACTTTTTAATTTAAACTTGTCAAATCTAAGTATTAATCCTTTTGTCCACATTTTATCAATTCTATCTAATCTCTTATTTATTTGATGATATTTCCATACAAATTATTCCATCTCTTCTGAAGTATAATCTTCTTGTACCAAATCTTTTATCCATCTAGGATAATATCTATTAATTCTCTAAGGAGATGATGCTACAGTACCTCCTTAGTAGGTTGATACAATATTACTTAAAGTTGGATATACTTTTACTGATCTTTTATTGTGCATTAAAATAATCTATTTTATTTATACATCACTTAATCTCCAATTTTATTTATTATATTTATGATAATCTATTCTTCTTTTAATAGAACTTCGATGAATTGATTAACTATGAACAGATGATGACTTTCTAAAAAACACTTAAAATTTATCTGATAAACAACGTAATGGAAATACTCTCCTAATTAAATTATAATTATCTAAATCTTTCCAATCTTCTGGTGGAGTTCTATTCAATTATTAATTATAATGTATAATTCTAAACACTACAGACTTAAATCTTGCTAATAATTAATCATATTTATGTCTCTTTTTATCTATCAACTATTGTAAAACCAATTAATTATATTCATTTATATTTTTTAATTCTCTTATTTCTCTTTACTTTTTCATCTCTTATCTAGTATATTGTAATTATTCATGGCTGAATTATATTAAAACCGATCTCCTAACTTTTTTTCGTTAAGCTAACTAATATAGTTTATAAATACATACATTTCTAAACTTTTAAATTATTTATCAATAATTTACGTCTTCTATGAAATAATTATTAAACTTCAAAATACAAGTTTGGACTCATCTTCATAGATTTCTCTAATATTGTATAATCAACCTTTAAAATCAAAGATCTTTATAGAGCTACAGCATAAGTAGCTCTTAATGTTTCTTCAATTGCTTCAAATTCTCCAAACATAGTCCCTTCTAAAATATTTAATAAAGTAAATTTTGTTTTTGTCATTATTCTGACATCACCCTATAATAAGAAATAAATCTCATTTGAATTCTATCCTTCTCTATATATAAGATCATTCTATTCTATTACAAAGAATTAAACATTATTTAATAATTCAATAGTAAAATTAATATCCTACATAAAGAAAGGTACTGCTTCACAAATTTTAAGCATACCACTTAAAACTAAATAATTTTATATTTAATATGGTAAATCATGTACCATTTTCTTATGATAACTAGACCAAAAAGCATTGTTATTTAGATTAGTTGATATAAATCTTTAAAATTAATTTCTTATCTTTTCTGGAAAATCAGATATATAACACAATTATTCTAATTAAAAATAATATTCATCATCTTAATTAATCCCTGATCTTTACATCATATATGCAAAATCACCTATTGTAAATGTATAAAATCCAACACCTAAAATCAACCATAAAGTTTAATATTCATAAATTATAAATTGAGAGCAATCACCATATCCTATTGTTGTTATTGTTTGAGTTGATTGATAAAATGCATCTATATATGTTATCTCTAATAAATAATGATATCCACAAGCAAATATATGTATCAATATAAAAGCTGTTACCATAACATCTATTATAAATTTTATTCCTTCCTTCAATTATATATTATTATCTGGCATAAATGATGGTATTACTTTTTTTTATTCTGCTTAACCTTTATAGCTATGCTTTTATTTATAAATAAAATATTTTAATATTCTGCAAAGTCTGAAAAATCTCAAATCATCTATACTTAATTAAATCCAAGGAAATATCGATATTAAATCAAAAATAAACCATGTTTTTAAATAATGTGTTGCGATATCAAATATATTAATTTTTAAAGAAGATGTTTCATCTATGTAGGCTGTCAAAAAGGTTAATAGTATGTCTATTAAGAAAAAAAGATCCAAAATAATCACTATAATGTATAATTCTCTCTCTAACTCATTAAATGTAATAAACAGCGGGTAAATTATACATGAACAAAATTACATTAGAGTTATGATTTTCATCCAAAAAACAATAAAACAATCATCTGGATAAAATGGAATCATTTTTGTTCTTTTTTAAAAATAAAATTCAATTCTTTATTACAATCTCTCCTTTCGATATTATTCTAATGAATCAAAAAAACATTTTATGATTATCAATTTTCTTACAATCCTAACAAATACACTTCTAGTATCTCTTGTTATTGTTGTTTTATCTTCTTATGTATTAAAAGTCCTGTTAATTAATCAATTATAATACCCAAATATAGAAATAGTAGTTTAAGTTTTTAATTTTCTGTTCTATGAACCATGAAACATATATTATGAAGAAGGTCTGTTTCTTTATATTGGAATCTCTACAGAACATGCTCCTTAAGTTATTAACTATTCTGGATCTTCACGATCACTTATAAGCTACATTTTTTGTCTGAATAATAATAATTATTTTCAATTCTTAATTATAATGTAATGATTGCCAAAATAAAAGAAATTATTGTTGAATCTCAACCATAAAATAAATTTATAGATAATTATAACTCTTATGATAACAAATAACTAAATAAAAAAAAATGAGAAAATATATATTGTTTTTTTGTAATTTAATTTGAATAATACAAATAGTGCAAATATTAATTTAAAGAAATATTAAATAGTTAAGTGATAAGATTATATTTCATTCTAATTATAAATTTAATTAGGATAATCATCATTCTTTTAATTTAGAAATTCTTACATCCTATTTTAGAAACTCTATTTTATGAAAATTAATATAAAGTTAAACGGCAACAAATAAAACAAGGATCATTTAAAATAATCTCTTGAAATAATCTTCCTAATTCTATCTCTCTATTATCTTATTAATAACTCTTATCATTCCTATTAAAGTAAATGGAACATAGATAAATATTAAAAGCGATAATAACTTTTTCATAAATTTCGATTTGCTGACATAATATATCGATTCAGTGATTTCCATAAATGCCCAGCCACTTATTGTCTATCTAAAAGAGCAAAAACATAATTATGGCCTCATGAAATACCATTAAAATATTAGCCTCATAAGAAATATGTAATATTTCAAAATATTTCTTTAAGATAAGGCTTGGCTTTATTTAATGAAAACAATTTCAAAGCATTTTCCAATAGTCATAGCCTTGACTAAGTTTAAAATATTGGAAATGTCATCAATACCATGTTTGGTTTAGTAAATTATCAATGCCATAGTTTGACTCCAACCAAGAATTCTTAGGATATTATACATTAGAATGATTTCGTCAGATATTTTCATTTGAATTAATAATGTTTTATTTAGCAAAAATTTTACATTGAATAATTAATTGTTATTATTATATTTTATTAATGTCGAAATAATACTATAATAATATGTGGTAGGAGACAATTAATGATATTCAAGACTTAATATAAGTTGAGAATTTTCAGAATGAACCAGATTTTTTAAAAAAACCATCATAGGATCTCTTTTAACATTATGCTTAAAATTACATTCGTTATATTGGGATTTATAAGAAGTTTTAATTACAAAATAAATATTATTAGATTAGAAGATTGTTATGATTAGATGGTACATCCTTAGAAAAAATTAAATTTAAAGGAATTGTTAGAATTAGCAATAATAAGAATGATTGAAAATAAAAAATTAGTTATTTAATTTAATGTACACTCAAATAGTTATCAATCAGATATGGTTAATTTAGATGAATTAATAACAGATTTAAAATTAACTCCAGATTATTTAGAAGTACCTATTCCAAGATATTTTAAAAAAGAAACAGACAAAGAAAGATTGGATGAAAGGAATTTCATAATTGATAAAACATTATAGGATATGGATTTGGGTTAGCCAGAAGAAACTGTTATAGAAGAATAATACTTTTTAGATACAAAATTAGAAAATATTATAGAAATAATTTAAAGAAATGAAAGAGGAAGAGCTGGTATTCAAAGAGTTTTGTAATTTAAATAATTACGGAAAGAGAGATTAAGGAAAGAAAATAAAACAAAAAGATTAGCTGAAGGTGAGGAAATTACTGATGAATAAGAAAATGAAAAAGCATTATTAATAATTTAAAAATGTTTCAAAGGGTATAAAGGAAGAGAATAAGTTTATTTTATGAGAGAAGAAGAGATGAAATTTTTAGGAATTTAAAGAGATTCTGAAGATCCAAAATAAGCAAATTCATAATTTATGAAAGCATAAGAATAAAGATAAAAGTACATGATTATATTATTATAAGAATGACATTAATTCAATAATAACATATGAAAGATTATGAAGCTAAAAAAATAGAACTCAAATAATTGGTTTAGGAAACAGAAGGACCAGAAATTAAAGAAAAAAAAATCAAAGAAAGAATTGATTGGATTGATATGTATTTGGATAAAACAGAAGGAAGTAATTATATTATTTAAATAAAGAAAAATTACCTGCTAAAGCTATTGATTTTTATGATGATAAAAAAAGATATCCTCCTACTTAAGAAGAATTAGATGCTTTGAAAGGAGGAAAAAAAGGTGCTAAAAAAGAGAACAAACCTGAAAAGAAAGGTAAGAAAGGTAAAAAAGACAAAAAAGAAGAAAAAAAAGATACTATAGATCTAACTACAGTTATAAAAATAAATGAGAGAGTTGAAGAATATTTAACAACTTGGGGTTCCACAGATGATTCAACAAATTTTCAATAAACTTTTGTAACAGATGTTGCAAAAGGTTTAGTTAGATAATCTGTTGACACTCAAATGAATAGTTTAGTTGATGAATTAATTGAAATTGAATTAGACAATAGACACTTGTTTTTATTAAAGAAACCTAGAAAGAAACCACCAAAACCTAAAAAAATAAAACCTCCTAAACCTAAAAACTTTAAAGTACCTGGAGCAGGTGGAGTAAAAGGAAGAGATGTTTTTGATTTGTTAAGTGAATTATTAGAATATGGAATTGTGAAAAAATTAATGCCTGCAAACTTATCTGATCTCAAAGGTGGTCAAAATGTATTAGGTGCAACATAAGAATAATAGTTCGCAACTACACCTGATCCTTCTTATCCTTAATTAAGATCTGCATTAGCAGAATTTGTTGGAATGTAATTGGGTTCTCCAATTCTGAAAGAAAAATTAGATAAAATGTCTTATTTCTTATTCTTTGGGCCATCCGGATCTGGTAAAACTTTAGCAATCAGGGCTTTGGCTACTGAATGTAATGCTATGTTACTCGATATTACTCCTAGTTCTCCTGAAGTTTAATAAAAATTTTCTGATAAATCTTCTATTGGAAAAACATTTTATACTGTATTCTATGTGGCTAAAGTCTTACATCCTACAATTATTTTTATGGATAACATAGAATAAGTTTTTGGATCTGCTAAAAAGAAAAAAGGTGTCCCTGCTGCTCCATGGGCTAAATTAAAGAAACCACTTTAAGATTTTAAAAAAGCTAAGTTTATTGAACCAACCACTAGAGTAGTTTTTATTGGTTGTACTAATTAGCCAGAATTGATGATTATGAAAGATACTAAGAATTTCTTTGAGAAAAAATTCTTTTTCCCAATGTTAAATTATGATACTAGATTGACTTTACTAAATTTTTTTATTGAAGAAAAAGGAATAAAATTAGAGCCCAATTTCCCTTTAAGTACTTTGGCCCATCTAACAGAAGGATATACTGCTGGATCTTTCAAAAATATTATTGATAAAATTATAACAACTGAAAGAATAAAAAAAATTTCAGATAAACCAATCACTATTGATGAATTTGTGGCTAGACTTTCAAGATAGCCATATGTAAAGTCATAGGCAGATTATGATAAATTAAGAGTATTGTTTTTATGCATTATAGACTTTCTTTGATGAAGTGACAGGAACAAAAGAAAGAAGAGAAAAGTCTAAAGCAGTTGCTGTTGATCCAAAAAAAGGTGGGAAGAAAAAATGATATATTAATCAATAAATCAAACATAAATAATAAATATTAATATTAAATGGCGTGCTGTACATGTTCCTAATCGTTGATTTTCACCATTGTCTTAATCACATTATTGTTTGCAGCTGTCACTATTGATGCTGTTAGATTTGCTTGGTTAACTATTTCATTTATGTTCGGAATAATGTTAATGATAGGTAATGTGTTATCCACTATCTTAATTAATAGATTACATGTTTTCTTATGAAAAAGGCTTCATGTATGATCCAGATTATAAAACTTGGAGATAAAAAACTCAATCAGATGCATGATTATTATATAATTTTACATACATTTATTGCATAATTCATTATTTTTCTCTATATTATAATTTATTATATATATATATTTAATTGTGTTTATTTATTTAATTATAATATTAATAATATAAAGCATTTGATAAATGGATATAGTCAGATTACATCATTTAGCAGAATAAAGATGTAAACCACTTGGATGCAGAATGAAATCTTGTTAAGAATCAGCTCAGGATCCAAATTTATGTTAGCAATATCATCGAGAACTCTTAGAATGTATTGCAAAAGAGAAATCAAGACTTATTGATAATTGGAATAGAACTGGCAAATTCTCATCTTGAATATTCAATATTATTTTATATTTATAATTTTAATATTTAGATTACATGAAAAGTGAAGTAATTAACTTAAATTCAGAAACTAAACCTTATTGATGGAAATCTTAATTTACTTCTTTTAGTAGCTTATTTAATATTTCTATTTTTTCAAGCAATGCTATAAATAAGGTATTAAAATATACATCATTTTATACATTTAAGGAGGTCATAGTTGATGTAATATACTATATATTATTAGTATTAATTAATAATTTAATGAGAACCATAAATTTTGAAAAAAAAATCAAAGGTTCTAAATAAATTGTTAAATTTCTTATTGATATTCAATCCCATTTGCAAATTAATTATATTAAATTTAAGGTCTAAAATTTGAATGTTATCTAATATGTAATCATATGATTTATTAAATATACAATATTCAAGGTATGCAGTAAATAAATTAATTGGAAAAGCAAAATTTCAACCATTTATATATAAGCTTAAAAAGTAAGAATGCAATAAACAGAATTTTGCCATCCTTAGATTTATTATCAGATTATTGATAAACAAAAGATTTGAAAAATATTTTAAAAGAGACACATAAATATTCATTCTTCATAAATTGAATAGTGAAAAGAATAATAAGTGGCTTTATGGCATCTGCCCTAAGAAAATAGGTAGAAATAATTAAAAGAAATGAAAGTGTAGTATTATTTAATAAAGAAAAGTTTATCGAAGAAATTATATATTTGGAGGCTTAATTTCTAAATATATATAAAAGTTTTAAAAAAGAATAATACCAATAATTTAAAGGATTATAAAGAATAAATTGAGTCACCCTAATTAAATTTGAATATATGAATATTATACAAATAAAAGCGGATGAAATTAATATAATAAATCAATAATAATAATAATTTTTATTTTTAATTTGTGTTAATTAAGCTAGTCAACCCTATCTGTGTTACTCATCATTACTTTTATAGAGTGAATGAAGTGTCAATGATAGGGAATATAAAACTGAAATAATAGAATCGTAATAATTGGATTTAATGCAATTATTATTTTTTTCACTATTTCAAACAAAATTATCTAATTTATTCATAAAATATATTATTACTTTACTTAATGGGTTGTGGTAGTAGTGCAGGAGCTGTGATAGAATAAAATAGAGCACCTGGTTTTAAAGGACCAGTATTTATGACAATAAAGCATGCTTTATTAGAAAGAGATGTAAGATTCATTGGAGTTATGGATCCTTACATCAAATTAATTATGGGGAGACAAGAGTTTAAGACACCAATTGCAAAGGAAGGAGGAAAACATCCGTAACTATATATTTCTTATTATTTCTTAAATAGAAAATGGGAAGGGTGTACTCACACATTTTAAAAATTGCTAGGAGAACCAGATGTAATTATAGGATAAGTTTGGTGTGAAAATACTTTAACTTCTGACATTCTTATTGGTGAAGGTGCATTTTCATTGACTTCTATAAGAAAAGGAAATGCTGAACCAAAAAGAATTTCATTTTTACTTTTCCATAATGGTGAAAAAGCAGGTGAAATTAGTTTGGAAGCCACCTTTACTCTTGATCCAAGTGGTAAAGACTTACCAGAAATCAAGGCTCCGGATACTGAAGGAAAGTTCATTGTAAAACCAAAATTTGGTCGATTAAAGAAGAATACCAATCTATTATTAAAAATGGATCCATTCTTAACTATTCATTTTGGTAATGAAACTATGAATACTTCTGTTGATGCTGCTGGACATACTACACCAAAATGGAATGATGAAATAATATTTACAAGAGAAACAAATGAAGATACTTTATACATAGAAGTTTGGGCTGAATCTCTGATTGGATGGAATGATTTCTTGGGATGCGGTAAAATATTTATTAATCTGATAGGTTATGCCTCAATTACTGATTCATTATCACTAAAAGAAAATTAATTGTAAACAGTTACAATATTTTATGATGGTTCAAATGTAGGTGAAGTAGAGATAGAATGTTCATTTAAGACAGCTAAACCTTAAGATTATTTGTAGAAAGATAAATAATCAACAGAAGCTCCTACAAAGGAATCATTTTAATAATAACTTTAATAATATTAATAGCCATAATAATAATAATAATATTCATAATAATAATAATAACAACAATAAGTTCTTCCTTAATAATTAAATTAATTTGTTTAAAATTTTGAAGCTAGATATTAAAATAGCTATGGATAATAGCCAATGAATGGAAGAGTAGATTTCACTTATCCTAATGGTGATCACTATTCGGGAGATATGATGAATAATTTAAAACATGGATAGGGTAGACTATAATTCAGTTATGGTGGATACTATGAAGGTCAATGGGCTAATGATTAAGTATTATAAGTTTATTAATATCTTTTAGTATAATGGAATGGGAATTTTAGTAATTGGTGATTCTAAATATGAAGGTCAATTTATAAACGGCAAAAAAAATGGATAAGGTAAATAGGTTTGGAATAACAGATAACAATATGATGGATAATGGGTTGATAACAATATGCATGGAAATGGGTATTTTTTATTAATATCTAGTGAATGGACCTTTGTAAATGGAGGAAAAAAGAAGGGAGTTTGGGCTAATGGAAATAGATTAAGATGGTTAGATGATGATTAAAATATAATTTCATCTAATAAAACCATGGTCTCAGGTTTTATGTTAACAAGTCCAAATTAATAGTTTACTTTATCTTTCTTTCATGATGGCAGATTATTCATCTTCCATAATTAGACAAGATAACCAATTTTTTCAGTATTCTTAAAAAATAATAAAAATAGGCTATTAATTTCAACCGACAACCTATTCCACCTGTTTGGTTGAAGTTTGATTAATCTGGAGGAGAATTATAAATGATTGATGCAAAAGGAATGCCATATTGGGTTACAGGATAAAATTTTGGAAACTTTGCTCCTCCTTTTGTTTTGATTTTGTAGGATGATGGCAGACTAGTTATCTAAGATGCTAATGGATAACCAAAATGGTATTCACATTGACATTATCCATATATAAGAAAATTATAATAAATAATATTTTTAATATCCATCTTGTCTACATATAAGCAAACCAATATGAAATTCATGATATTGTTGATTTTCAGCAACTAATCCTTAAAGTATTTTAATTCTAATTGAACTAATTTTTGAACATAATATTTTAATTAAATTATAATCATGAATTAAAGTTATTTACTCTAATTGTTTACGCTCCCTATAGCTGAAGGATTGTCTATTGTTGAATTGGATCAACTTTTAGATTACATAGCCAAAGTTTATTCTAACCAAGAAAATTATAAATCTGTAGATTTATATATGGAGAACAATTTCTCACTAAAATTAATTATGATTATTAGATCGATTTATCACTTTGATTCAATTATGTAAATGAATCCTTAAAAATACAATTCTTAAAGGTTCAAATAACTTGTCCTCTTTGCCACAATGTAATTAAAGAAACTTTCTCAAATTACATCAGAATAAGATTAGTAAATAATATTTTCTTTATCCATTCATCTAGGGATTAAATATTACAAAACTCATAATAAACATATGTCACATCTTATTGGAATTGTTTTTGAAGCATTTTAAGAAAAGAATGAATTATTTGACTTTTTATTACAATAAATGTCACAATCCTTAGTAGGTAGTCATTAATAAATGTCAACATCTATCATGTCAATATTATTTATTTTGGATTAATTGTTAAGATTTCTATTTAATATAAGAACTTTGGATTAATAACTTTAAATTATAGTTGAACAAATATTTCAATAATTCTAATTTATTGATTATTCAAGTATTGATCTTAATGTTGGAAAAACCTTAAGCAGTATAATTGTTATATGTGTATAAAAATATAATTCTTATGAATAAGAAAAATTATTAATATTATCTCGAGATTAACATTTATTAAAATTCATTTCACACTATTTATTGCAAGATAATATTATTACTTCAAACTTACTTAAATCCTTATGTATATTAATAAAAAATTAATCTTAAATTCAAGCTCAATTAAAATTTGATTAATTATAAATACCTTACTTAGCCTAATTGACTAATTAAATATTACCATTACTTATATAATCATTTTTAGAAAAGAAATTTGATCACCCAACATCTTTATCAGTCTTACAATTTGTAAATGAATGTTTGAGTTATTCCTTTTCGTATGAATTTTTTTATAATAATCAGCACCAACTATTATTTAATTTAATATTTGATAACCTAATATTTGATGAAGAAGAAAATTAAAATTTTTATGATAATACTACAGATTTTTATGAGTATATATAAGCCATAATTATGTTTGATGTAAAAATTATTAATTTAGTTAGAATGATTCAATTAAAAGTTTAATTGCATAAATTTTAGATAAACTCTCCAAAAATATAGATGGTTTCATAAAAACATATTATGATTTATGTTATGAATTACTGTTATTTCATTTTGATGTGATTCAAGAAACAAATTTATGTAATAAATTATAAACAGAAATTATTAAATGTAATTTCTTTGCATGTAGTTCTGATTTAAGATATAATGCAATAATGTTATCTTTTTGTATTCTTAACAAATAACTTACTTCAAGAAAAGATGTTAGGTAAAGTGTTGAATACTTTTTAAAACAAAATTTAAAATATATGAAAAAAAAAGCTGATTCTCTTGGTAAGTGTTTGGGAATGGAATTCATTAAAATAGTTTTGCCATAAATATTTTAGAATTCTGAAAGATCCTTTTCAAAATGTGTTAAATTCTGTTTTAGAATATTAAATTAATTAAAATAAAAAAAAGGAGTAAAATTATTTGCTGTTAAATGCTTAATTAATTTGATTTAGAGTGAGGAAGTTTAATTAAAGATGGAAGACTCAATAGCATATTAACATTTTGAATTTTGTGATCAATTAGCATTATGTGAACTTGATATATATTATGAATTTGCTTAAATTGTTATCTAAAATTGTAATTTAATTGTAGATACTTATCTTGATGATATTATGAAATCTATTGCAAAAAGAATTGATTTTGGTTGTAGAAAAATAAAGTCAAATGAAACAAAATATGTTAATCACACATCAATCGTTTTTAGTTGTATAAAGATTATTGATATAATATTGTCTTAACCATATACATTAAAATATACAGTATTTATAATAAAATATTTAATAGGCTTAAATAGAACCAACCTTAAATTAAATTTTGAATTATTTATTATAACCAGAAAACTTACTATTTATAGATGAGATCTTTGATGCTTGTTCTAAATTCATTTCATATACAAAGGGTTTAACAGAAATTATTTATATTATTTATGATAACTTACCTACTATTATGGAAAAAGAAGGAAAAATAACAATTGAAAGTGTTTATAGACTATTTTTGTAAAGCACAATTCATGCTTCTGAGGTTGTAAAATCAAAACCTTAGTGGATATCTATAGTATATATAATAACTTATTTCTTAGATGTTAAAATTTGTATATTCAGAACTTTAAAAAAATGATTCTATTGAAGATAATATCAGAATTTCAATTTTGATACAAATATTTTATTAATACTATAATTTAGATGAATGCTGTTTGTTATTAACAGAATAATTTTATAAAATACTTTCACTTTAATTATAATAAAAAGAAATATTACCAAAAACTTTTATTTCAATTTTTATGCCAGTAATTATAGATAATTCTAAATTATTAAATACACATCTAAGATAAATTATCATTAATTCAAGTGCCTATTTAAATTTAACATTTGGAAGAGCATTAACTGTATACAATTATAAGTTTTATTTTATAATTATTCACTTCTTAATTTTGAATTCTCATCTTCTTTATGAAGAATAACATAGACAGTAAATAATTGAATAATTATTCAATAATTTCCTCAATAAATATGCTGCATACATAGAAAAAATTACTTTTCATTAAAAAATTGGAACTCAAAATCTTTCTTAATAAGTAATATAAATATTAATATTCAAGTAGGAAAAAAAAATCCCAAGTTTTGATCTAGAATATTAAGACAATTAATTAGAAATACATTTGAAAGAAATGTCACACTATAAAAAAGAAAATCAAATCGAAAAACAAAACTTAGTTGATCTTGAATCAACTCGTATCATGTCATAAACACAATAAACTTAGATAGTTTAAAATATATTACAATATCTAAAAATAAATTATCCAGCAATATTATCTCAATTAACATAAGCAGATAACTTATTATTGAATTCAATATTATAAATTAGAGATATTGATGCTTAAAATTAGTAAAGTGTAAGATAAATAATGAATGTTAAAACGTTATAAAGGAAGTCTTAAAATTTGAAATAGTACAATGTTATGTGATCTAAAAATAAAACATAGGTTTTTAAAAATTATATAATATTTTAATTTTAATAATAAATGTTAAATTGTAGTTGTAAATCCTCTTCAGTTTAAATGACAGAAGAGTAAAAAAAAGAATTGAGATGGAAAAAAGAGATAGATTTGCTTGAATATTACAGTATCCATTCACATTATCAATTTAGAAATTAAAATTGGATTAAATTGCTTCTTATATGATTATGAAGTTGAATATCAAGGAAAATAGTATTAGATTCACACATTTTGTGGAGGAGAATCTGATAAGGTTCAATTTCATCATAATTTTATAGGAAATTGTTTTGATGTTACACGGTTATGGAGGATCGAATGTTCACTATTGTAGGATTTACGAACAATTAATCAGAAAATTCCGAATCTATTCGATTGACTTGCCAGGCATGGGATACTCAAGTAAATCAGATATTCTAATGGAATCATATGAAGATGCAATAGAATTCTTTATGGGAACAATATCAAAATTTATTGAGAATATTAATAGAGAATAAAAAATAATTTTAATTGGCCATTCATTTGGTGGATTTTTGGCAGCTCATTTATTCACAAGAATGCCCCATTTATTCTCAAGGCTCTTTTTATTAAGTCCTGCAGGAGGTACCTATTATGATGATAGTGAAATCAAGTATAAAATCAATTAATTTAGAAAATTGTAAGATACATCAAAATATCCATTTCTATAAAGAATTTTTTTCAATTATGCTTACAAAAAATGGAGTGAACAAATTACACCTTAATAATTAAAAGACAAGTGGTATGGAAATTATTTCATCAAAAAATATCTCAAAAAAAGAATGTCTTTATAAGGAAGAGAATATGAGGTATGGCAATCTTATGTAGATGAAATGTTAGCTTTACCTGATGGTTCAGAGAAAGCACTATTTTTATTATTGTAATTCCCAAGAGTAATTGCAAGAGGATGGGATTCTATAGAATATATTTTAACAAAACATTCTAAATATACTGCAGAAGTTCCTATTTATTTTTATTTTGGTGATCAAGATTGGATGGATAAAAAAGGAGCATATAATCTAGCAAAGAATAACAATAATATTAAGATTAGAATAATTGAAAATGCTGGTCATTAACTTAATTTTGAAAATCCTAAAGGAGTTTATGAATAATTGTTTATAGATATAAATGATTCTTCATGTAGGAGAGAACAACAAATAATGTTATCATGAGATATTTAATTATTTTATTATCATATTTTTTATCATTTTCATTACGATTCTAATTAGTAAATTCTGTTATTCATTGGTTGAAGTTATTTATTAAAGTAAGTAAATTTGTTCAATAGATGATCTATAACAGATGTAGATCCAACAACAAGGATGCAAACTAAATAAAATCCTTTAGATCTAAATACACTAAAATTTCAGAATTAAAATTACTATGAAAAGATTTTATACACTCCATCAAAAGAATTAAAATCATCAAAAATTAAAAGAGTGAATAAGAACATAACAATCATCCCTAACAAAAAAAATAAATGTGCAATTGTCCATGTATTTGAAATGATTACTATTCTTAAATTAGATATTAAAATTGCCAACCAAAAGATTACTGTACCAGTATACCAAAATGATATTTGTCGACCTGCTTAATGAGTATTTGCTTCAAAAATATATATGCTAAAAAAAGCAATAATTGTTGATGAATAAATTGAATTAATCAACATTAATAAAAATAATTTAGTATTAAAGCAACTATCTATATAAATCATAAATTTAATTTACTTTATTATCCAATAGAATATGTTGAATATTTATTTGAATAAAGCATTTATTCTGAATATTCTGAATCGAAAATTGCAAAGATTAATATTGGCATAGAAGTATAAAAGATATTGTAAGCTTAATATATTAAGTTATCATAAATTCTTTAACCACTAAAATTATTGTAAATGGAAAACCAAAATTGTGGAAAAACCAAAATAACGTTTTTGTAAAAGTTGTACAAAACTAATTCTGAATTTTTTCTATATGATTCTCTTCCATGGACAAATAGCAATTATCTTAATTATTGAAATTCTCCAATTGCATAATCTGATGCTCTTGCTGCTTATTATCCCTCAATACCATATATACCAACTCCTACATTTGCACTTGTAATCATACTAACATCATTTGCTCCATCTCCAATTGCTAAAGTTGATGCCATAGAAAAATGTTTTCTAACAAAACATACTACCTTCCATAAATTTATTATATACTTATTGTTTTTACAATGGGCTAACTCTGCAACATAAAACAGATTAACATTTTTCTGTAATTTTTGCAAATAAATTCTCTAAAACTGCATCCTCCAAAATAATTGATAAACATTCACCTGAGACCACAAATGCATCACTTTATTTTAAATTTGCAATTATATCTTCATATATTGGTTACTATATGATTGAAATATTCATCTTTTAATCAAGCAATTTACAAGATATTGCTATATTGATAGCAGTCTCAATTTTATCTCCTGTTAATACCCAAATATTAATTCCAGCTTACCTCAAACAATAAATTGTTTCATCTACATTATCTTACAATTTGTCTTCAATCCCAGTTAACCCTAAGATTGTAAGATCTTTTTCTAACTAATCTTGTAATGCCTCCATTTTTTCTTGTCTATTTTCCATTTGAGTAATTGCTTATTTATATAAAGATTCCCATTAAACATATTCACTCCAATGTATCTCTTTATAACCTAAAAGTAGAATCCTTAATCCTTTTTCAGAATATTCAGATATATATCTTTCGAATTAATTTTTAGATTTTTCAACATTTTGGTGTAGTTGTTTCTATAACATTACTGAATCTGCTCCTTTTGAAAATAAATAAATTATATTTGTTTCTTTATCGCATACAAGTACTGAACTACATTTTCTTTAGCTAGTAAATTCAAATAAATATAAAAATTAAAACTATTTTGACTTTTCTCGAAAATTTATTGTTATAACATTGTGCTCATCAATTCCATTATATATGATTGAATATTTTTTAGCAAAGTTTAATAAAGCCAATTCATCAGGAGAAGTAACATTATAATAAAATTCATTTTGAGTTTTCTAAATTATTGCAGAATGGCACAATGTTAGTAAAAACAATGTTTTCTCTATTACAGGATCATTTTAATTTAATTTATCAATAAAAGCTTAATCTTCAAACTAAACAAAATCAAAGGGTTAATTCTTTTCATTATCATCACCATAAGAAATTCCATTTATACATATCTTTTTGAATATCATCTAATTTTTAGTCAGAGTTCCAGTTTTGTCACTAAGAATATATTAAATCTGTCCTAATTCTTCATTTAAATTTGAAGATTAAACTGAGCATCTTTAATCATTTAATTTCATTTTATCATCAAATTATATTAAAAATGCTTGACAAAATTTGACAGTTTCTAAAGTCACTAATAGAGAAATTGGAACAAGATTTCTAAATAACAAAATAACAATACCCAAACATTAATATCCAATTTCCTAATCTAACAAAAAAATTGTACATAAAAGATTTGTCAACATAAGCAGATTTCTTAATTTCTAAATAAGTTAACGAATCATAGTTTGCATTAAACCATATTGAATAATATAGAGAAGAAAACAAACAAATTCCTAATTAAAGAAGAAAGATAAATATAATTCTTTTCCCTAGTTATTTTTCAAGTGAACTTTATTTATATTTAACTTTGATAGAGTTTTTCATTATTTTAGTATCATGTCCTGTATACAATGCCAAACCAATAACATGACCCGTATTTTTTAAAACACTTCCTCTCAGAATGATATTGTTGTTGTCTAATGCAATTTTTAAAGTCTTAATTCGTTCTATTTCTTCATCTAAAGTCCTTACTTAAGAGATTAATAGACTTATTTACTCATCTTTATTCTTAGAAGATTACAGAGTTTATATTTTATCCTAAAGCTACTCCTTTTGGTTTAAGAGTTAAAAAATGTCATTTTCTTGATTTTTATCCAAGTTAAAATAGCAAGTGCCTGAAAATTTATACAATTAATTGTTAGGCGTATCGTATTCTACTATTAGATGATCAAGCATTTCAACTCCCTTTTATAAAAAGTATTATGGAACCCTTTTTTATTTCAGATTTGTTTCTCCATCTAAATTTTTCGTTTCAATATAACATTCACCTGTTTTTTAATCGCTCTTTAGAAGCAAAACATCACATGGAAACTATTCATTTTCTCTTATCTTCTTATAGTTGATATTTACTTTTAAAACTTCTCCTACTCGTATATCTTGCCATAATAAAGTTTGACCTGATTCTAAAAGGCTAGCGTTCTCATTTTCTTATTTATCACTTTTTTTTCTTTTTGTGTCTTCATATAAATCTTTCATCATTGTAACAATCAATATGAAAATTAATGGCAATAATATTGTAGGTTAACCATCTGATATTGAAATAATTGGTATTGCTTATAAAATAGCCAAAATCTTGAAATAATAAAATACTTTACTAAAAAATATAAGTTTGCTTGTTTGGTAAATTGCTCTAAAATGTTTTTTGGAAAAAAATTAAACCAATTGTATTTACTTGTTTAGACTTTATTGTTTGCATATTTTTTTATCCCAACCTTGCTTACTCTAAACAAAGCAATAGGTATTTTATGATACATGAATTTATTTTATTTTTATTAAATAAATGACTATTCCTAATTATTCTTGGAATAAAGTAATTAGAAATTTTAAGACTCTTTTAATCTTTTGCTTATATAATTAAAAAAATAATCAGTTAGTTTTATGTAAAAAGGTATGTCTTGGAGGAGATGTTTAAATTGAAAAGCTATTTAAGATTTAGATTTGTAACTTTTAACCATATTTTATATAATTCTCATCACAATGATTGTTTTAAGTTATTTACTTAATTTAATTATTACTGCTTTTAGAATTATGATGAAATTTTTTGAATTTGCCAAATTTACCAGATATTCTTAGGCTTAAATTCTTAATTATTATTAGAACTAATATACTTATTGTCTCAATTCTAAATTTTCTATATTCTGTAAATATACTAGAAAACTTTAAGTATATTTTGGTTAAAAAGTTAGATTAATGAATTATAACCTTACAAAAGGATTTATACTTATAATAATTACACAACAGCAAACCGTTAATCTAATCATTTAAATATATATAATAATGTAACAGAGCCACCAATTAAGGAGCTTGCTCCCCACCTCATTTAATAAAGTAAAGTAGCACAATTAATAACTTTTATATCCAGAAGTTGATATAGGATAATTAAATTGATCATGCATAGGAGGAAATTAATAAAGATTCAAAATATGCAGAAACTTATTAACTAAGAGGTAATGGTTAGATATAAATATTCATAGGATTGATACATTTAAAAATAGAGGAAAAACATAAGGCATTAGATGATCTGAATTAGGTCATATACCATAATCCAAGTTTAATGAGTAGTTTTTACAATTGAGGTATCTCTAAAATTGACATAGCAACAATTTATTAAAAAAATTAAATGCTAGACAAGGAGTTAGAAGATTGCGATCAAGCAATAAAAATTAAACCTGATTATGCATTAGCTTATAGTAAAAAAGGTGATTATTATTACTTAATCATCAAGTTTCATTGATGAGAATCAAAGAATAACTTGATGATGTGTATTTCTGGTTTAGAAATATGTCCAAGTAATCCTCCTTATTTCACAATAATTGGAGATTTGGATTATCAAGATTTGTAATATGAAAAAGTGTATTATTATTTCACTCAAACTTTACAAATATTGAAGGAATGTAACATGGAATTCAAATTAAATGGAATTAATCAGATGGATAAATATTTTCATAAAATTATAACTATAAAATTTATAAGAAATAGACTGTGTTATCATAAAGGCAAAAAAGCAAATATCTTATCTGCCAAATTCATCTGCATAATATAAAAATCAATTTAATGAATATTTCAAGAGAGTTGAGAGAATAGAAAGATCAGTTTCTGTTATAGTTTTGCCAAACGATGAAACATAGAGACAAGAAATGCAAAAAAATATGATCAAACAATTCTAAGAAATAATAATAACTAAAAGAATTATTAAAGCAGTTTTAAAAATAAAGTGAAGTTATTAACAAGATATAGAATTTAGATAATATCTTCATAGAATTTATGATGGAGGATTTAAAAAACCTAAAAATAAGCATTAATTCATATATTTTAAATCATTATTATGGATATTTTACTTCTATATGCATGCTGTAGGAACTTTCAACAATTTAATTTTAAGTAAATAAAGAGCCTTTGTTGAAAGTACTTCAGAAAAGGTCTTAAGTTTAATCTATAATGCTTTCAAAGCTGGATCCAAAAGTCATTTTCAATTATTGGAGGATCATTTAATATTATTAATTCTGTATTAAAAAATGGAGTAGAATATCAAAAGGAAGCTAAGTTTAAAAGAAGGATAATTCGATTAAAAAATATTATGAAATTATTTGCAGTAACTCCTACTGAATTTGAATTCACATAATTTTTGGAAAAAATATCTTTATTAGAAAATTCTTCAAAATAATATAATAGAGATTCTTATTGGAAGTAAGGAACAGCAGATTTTTTAAAACTTTAAAAATATATAGAGGAGAATAATGATATGATTATTATAGAAGATTAGGATAAAAAACTAAGGCAACTTTTGATTGATGCCATACTGAAAAATTACAATTCAATTTCAAAAAAAATAAAAGTTCATTTTTATTATTTTTAAAATAGAAGTGCAGAAAGTATGAAATACACACTTCTAACAGACTTTATATCTTTATTGAATTTGCAAATGCACTAATTTTATTTTTAAGACAATATTGCTTATAATTTTTCACAATTTACATTTATCATCTTTCAAGTGATCATAAAAAGTAAACATAATTGATTTTACTAAAAAGGATGATTTCCATAATTTTTCTAAGCATATAAGAATATGATCTTTTAGTAAATCGCAAAACAATAATATTTGCTAAATTAGTATAAATTATAGTTTTTGGTCATTATATGTACACCGAAATGTTAATTTTCTATAATTTTAAATTGTCTAATGGATCATTTAATATCAATTATTGAATTAAATAGACATTTTCTTTTATCAAGTTTAATCTGTTTTATGGTCAATCATTTTTTAAAACCTGTTATTATTTCCAGAACCATAGGAAATTATTAGAGTAGTTTAAAGCAATCTACTCAAATCATCTATAAATATCACCAAGTAGTTTAGAGGTAAAATGCCGCCCTCTCACGGTGGAGATCCAAGTTCAAGTCTTTGGGTTGGTGAATTTTTTTTTTAATAAATTATATTTTAATTTTAATTTCCTATTTAAATCAATATAAAAGTTTAATATAATAGCCAATAATAACGATATCAAATAATGTTTAATTTAACTTAATTTTCTTGTCTTGATTAAATTTTTTTAAAATAATTTGAAACGAATATAATACTTTTTAACTTCGACTATGATATAATTTTCCCTATTTTGAATCGATTCTAATACCTAGCTTTTTACTTTAAGTACTTTTATCTTTTAGCTCTAAACATAATGCAACTTTTTAAAACATATAACATTAAATTCTTTTTATTAACTTATTATTGCGACTCCATTAATTTTTCATCATGATTTTGTGTAATTGATATTTATATGCGTTTATTCACTCATTTTCAAATACTTTTGAATTTCGACAGTGTTTTATTCAATAAAAAATTTAATTGTATTTTTGAATTAGTTAGATTGAGAAAATTTAAAGAAAAATCTATTTAATTTGTCTATTTTTGTTTTATATATAAAATGATTATTATTAAGTTAGTCCTAATCTAACTTGATTTTAAAAGCAATATAGAAATCTTAAATATTTGAAAATAAGAAATTGAGTTCATATCTCAAATTACAGTTTAAATGAGGAATTGTGCAGTTATTCAAAAAAACAATAATACTTTTTTATTAATATTTTAAAATTATTTATTTAAAAAATTATTATTTTCTACAATTTTTTTTTTGGTAAATAAAAAATATTCATTTTCGGTATGAGATTATTAAAGCTTCATTTTATATATATTTTCTTAAAAAGTATTATTATTATTACTTAACTTATTTTTTGGCTTAGTAATTATTCATTAGAAATGCTAGATGTTCTTTTAATTGACAAAATATTTCATATTAATACAAAGTGATGACTCTAAATTTTAGAACTACATAGTTTGATATCGAAAATTTAGAAAAACTAAACTATCAAGATATTGCTTTCAAATTTTGGGATAAAATAGAAGAAAATTCAACTCTGATAATAGCAGAGATTTCTTAAGAAAATATTGGATTGAAAACTTAGTTTAGAAGATATTTTAACACCACCCATTAGAATTAGATTATTTATTAGATGAACTTGCAATTTAAGATGAAAAAATAAGAGATGCTGTTATTGAAATAATTAGTGATGCATTAATAGATTTGAATCTTAAAAACTATGATTTTTATGATGAGTTTATAAATTAACATCATTTAAAATAAATAGAAAAATAGAAAAAATTAGGAAAATCTATTAATATTGATCGTTTTCTACATGATATAAAAAAATATTCAACTAACCTTGCTAAAGCAATGAGCATGAATGAAATGACTTCAGTGTAATTTTAACAATAAGGATTATTGTATAAAGAAGAAAGCGAAAATGAAAAATGGCTTAATGATTTTTTTAATCATGATGATTAATTTGGATCTTATAGAAAAGACATACGAAGTTGTTCTCTAGTCTAATCAAATGGTGCTAATTTTTCATTTACCCATAAATCAATATAAGAGTTCTTGATTGCAGCTGATTTATATGAGGTTTTAGAAAAATCAAAAAATTTTGATATAGAAATATTGAATATTATTATAGAAACATTGTCAAAAGAATAGAATGAAAATTAAGATTGTTTAGAGTTTATAGCAAATCTCAAAAAAAAATATGCCTAAAATTATAATTAAATTGTAAATTTATCAATTTTGTAAAAAAAAAAATATTTAGATGCTTTTGAATAGACCATTAATTAAATTAATCATTTAATCAAAATCATATTAAATCATGATTTTCATTATATTAATTATTCCACTGAAATCTACTCTGAAACTAGATAATATCTCATTTAAAAAATATAACAAGAGGCTAAAATAATCGAATTTTTGAAATTATTAATACATCTTACGAAGATTGATAAAAATTTAATTATAAGTGGATCTAATGCACTAAATATATTGGTTGAACTAAAGGTGGATTTAAAAAAATTAAATTTTGAAAATATAAGAATTGAAATTACTAATTTATTTGGGGGTAATTTTGCTAAATCCAATTTATCTAAATCTTAATTCAAGAATGTGAATATTAATGGAATTAATTTAAATGGAGCTTAACTATTTGCATGTAATTGGTAATAATTAAAAATAAATGATTTATATTAATTGGTTGGTCATAATGGAACTGTCTAATCAGTCTGTTTCTCTTCTGATGGAAATACATTAGCTTCTGGTAGTGGTGATAAGTCTATCCGTCTATGGGATGTCAAAACAGAATAATAAAAAGCCAAATTAGATGGTCATACTTATTAAGCCTTGTCAGTCTGTTTGAAATACATTAGCTTCTGGTAGGAGATATCCGTCTATGGGATATCAAAAACAAATATTGTTCAGATTATAGATTTAAAGAAATTTAGGCTAAAAATACAAGATATCCTTTTTTAAACACCCCTTTGCAGTAAAAGAATATTATCTAAAATTTAGATACATTTAATTTTATGGTTTACCCGGACTTCAAAAGAGAATTTTTTTATAAAAAACCGTTTCCTTTTAGGAGAATTATTGGAGTAA